GACGGCGCGCCGGGCCGGGGCCACGCCCCCCAGCTGGGCGGCCCGGGCTCCGCCCCTCCTTCCTCCCCGAGTGGGGAAACTGAGGCCCGGGGACGGAAGGACGACCTCCGCGCAACGGGGCTGCAGAGGCTCTTAAGCCACAGCCGATAGCAATGAGGAAGCATTGTAACAACGCTGTGTATTATTTTACTCAACAGCGGTGACAATAAATCACCAGCACCCCTTTGCCTGGCCCCTCGGTGCCTTGATTAATCCCGCGGATGAGCCTCGGCTTCCCGAAAGCTTCCACGTGAGTCTGTGGGGGGGTGGGGGGTGGGGGGCTTTCAGGGAGACAACTCACAAACCAACCAGGTAATTTTGGGTACCAGTAACTGCCGTGAAGGTGATAACAGAGATGCTGGGAAGAGGTTGACCCCTGCGGGTGGTGTGGTTACCAGACAACCTGCAGGATGCCCAGAGAAGTGGGAATTTCAGATAAAGAATAATTTTTAGTATAAATATGCCCGAAGCAGTAGTGGCAATATTGGGGGCATACTTAGACTAAAACAAAAAGTATTCATCATTTATGCAAAATTGAAATTTAACTGAGTGTCCTGATTTTTATCTTCTGAATGTGTCAACCCTACCTGGGGGCCACTTAGATTAGGTCCTAAGGGAGGGTCTCTTTGAGCAGGTGACATATGAGAGGAAACCTGAAGGGAAAACCAGGGCTCAGGGAAGAGCAGCAAAGCCCTTGCCGCGCCTGAGGATCTGGAAGCAGACTGGTGTGGCTAAGGCTCTGTGTGCGAAGGGGAGGGGCTTAGAGATGCAGGCAGAGAACAGCAGGACCAGTGTAATCTGTGATTCCGGAGCCCCGGAGGCTGCAGGAAGGGGTTTGGACATTTTACTCTAAGGGCAGGGGAAGCCATCGAATGCTTTAAAGCTGGGGGGTGACACAGTCTGACTTGAGTTCTTAAAGGATCACTGCCACTCTGTGAGAGATGGGACGGGGAGGGCGCTCTCGAGAGAGTGGGGAGGCCAGGTGGGAGCCCATGACCGATGCCCAGGCCAGCGGTGATGAGCTTGGATTAGGGGGCAGTGTGTCCTTCTGGGTCTCCGCGGAGCAGTCACAGAGATAGTCAGGAGCCCACAGCATGAATTGGGATGGCGTTCCTGGGAAAGATGAAGGGGGAAATGCGGGATGGGCAGGGAGAGCCTCAGGCAGTCACGTAGATCACGCCTGGGAGAGGAAAGCAGACTGGCCCAGGATGGAATCTGCACTGCCTCTGGGATTACAGAGGACACGGAGGCAGGGAACCTGCACAGTCCCCCTGCTAGCTGTCAGCTGAGTTGGGCGTGGAGTCCTGGAGGTGTGAGAGAGATGGAAATAGTGCTTGGGAGAGTGTGACCGAGAACCTTCCAGAAAGTGGAGTGGGCTGCCAGGTGGTCTGTGATGCTGAGGACAGCGTGGTGCCACCTCGCCTGGTTCTGTGACTGTCCATCGTGGGTAGACACTGAATAGTCAGTAGCTGAGAGGGAGGGAGTGAGGCAGAGGAGTGTTTGTGAGACGTGAGTATAGTGGGGGGCCCGGGATCTGCACTGGGTGAGGAGGTGAAATGAAACGGTCACTTATGTCAAGGGGTTTTAAAATGGAGTCAGGAGTCCATTAAGGAGATGGGCCGCATGCACGTCCTCCCCATCCTCACCCGTGGAACTGTGAACTTTTGAACTGGGCCAAAGTGCAAATATTCCAGGGACCTAGCCTGAACACTTGCAACCCTCCTACAGTGAAAGACCGCTTACTGTTAGCCTTAGTCCAGATTTGTATTATAAAGATTTCTTTTCTGTTGCAACGCCAATCAAAAATTCTCTGTAAGCAACGTACACAGCCAGCCTATTTTTGCTGTGAATGCTCCTGACTTTTGCTCCCTAGTGGGGCATTATTTGGATTGTGACCCAAATCTCTGTGCCCTGAATTGCAATTCTTCGATCCCAAATAAATGAGCTTGTGTAATGATTGCCTCCTGACAATTTTAGCTTGACAAAGGGAATGAGGAGTGGAGAGCAGGACAGATCATGGGGTGTCAGCAGAGGGGAGCGGGTTGTCGGAGCTGGAATGCACAGCCTCTCATCAGTCAGGAGAGAGTAACCCAGCCTTGGTTATAGAGTCATGCCTGAAACCACATCTGCGAGATCCCTGGTCCAGTGCTCCCTCCTCCTGACTGCCCTGCTTGGCCCAGCCCCATCCCAGGGCGTAGGATCCGGTGCTCTGGACCGAGGACCCGCCTCAGTGCAAGAGTCTGCAGGCTGCCCACTCCCATAGCCCCTGCCCCCAGAGGAAGCTCCCAAGAGTAAACACAGCCTCATCTTCCCGCCCACCGGGGTGTACCACATTCCACACCGGCCGGATTTCCAGTCACAAGGCTCTCTCCCTCTGCTACAGCCTGGTTTTCCTGAGGATGAGGGAGTCTCACCCCTGGGGGAGAGGCGTGGGGGCAGTTCTCACTTCTGCCTTCTTTCTCCTGGGCTGCTGGGGTCTCTCTGATTTCCAGCAGGTGGGTGCGTCTGCAGGCGTGGAGGTGTTCGGGGAGCCCTGGGGCCGGGCATCTGAGCTCTTCTGGGTGCTGAAGGAGGGTGCCCTGGGGAGAGACGGAACTGCCCAACAGCCTTTGAGCAGAGTGGGGGTGTTCTTTCAGCTTTGGGGTTTGCACTGGGGGGGTGGATCTGAGCTTGAGGTTTTGGGGATGGAGTATGCTCGCTGAGGAAGGAATGGGCTTGTTGGTACTGCGTCCTCCTCCCCTACCCCACCTCGATTCCCCTCCTTGCCTTGTCCCTCTGCCACCCCCCTCTCTCCTCTCTTCTCCCTTGTCCGTTCTGTCTTGCAGCAATTTCTTCAGGCTTTGGAGCCAGAGGAAGTGACTTCTTATTTTGGCCCTGAAGCTACTTTAAAAGGTACTTGTCATGGAGTCTCCTTAGCAGGGGGCGTTCCTCAGAGCCTGAGGGGCACATCCTGCTTGAGTCAGGGCTCTGCTGGGGGGAGGAGGTCCAAGAAGCTGCCGTTGTTCCTGTTAATTAACTCTGGACTTCTGCCAAATCCGTAAAAGCTGGTCTGGGTGTTCTGGACCAAGCTGGGGTTCTGACCCCAGGCTCTGCTCAACATCTCAAGGGAATGGTTACTAATTAGCTGGTCCCTTTTGCCCCGGGGGCCTCCCTTGGGCTGGGGGAGCTGCAGGAGCTCTTGTGGTTTCTGGTCATGGATGGAAATATTTATCCTTTCTGTGAGAAACAAGATAGGCGCTGGCTCAAGCTCCAGCCAGGGCCTTCCTGTCGCTCTCGGCCACATCTGTGGACTTCTCTGGGGTGCCAGCCCCCTTTCTGAGTTAGGCTGTTGATCTCAAGGCTGCTGGGAAACAGAGGCAGGGTGGGCTAGTGGTCAGGCTGGAGAGAAAGAAGGGATGTCCCACTTGCGACTGAATTCTCCGTGGCCTGGGTCAGATGCACATCGAGCCCTGCTTGGGGCTGCCTGGGGGTGGGAGTGGGGACCAGAAACTTGTGTATCAGGACTCCAGGTCCCTGCAGCTCTCTGGGGGCTCCTTAGGGGTGAGGCAGATGGGTGAAGAAGGATGGTGAGGCTGGCCCTGGGCGCCTGCTTTTCCTAGAGGCCACAGAGGCTGTGCTTGGACCTGCTCTGCCTGTTGGGGTTCATGCCACCCCTCGTGAAACCCTGTCGTGGGGTGAGGCTAGTGTGCTGAGTGCTGGTCTGCCCCAGGGCGAGGCCCAGATGGGAGAGGCAACTTGCAGTTCACCCCTCTGCAAGCTGGGAAGGGCTGAATTTGAACCCACGCTCTCTCCCCCCCTGGGGTTCCAGGCCAGCACGTTTCCCCATGCACCAAAGGGAACGAATGGGGCCCCCTCTCCCGGGCAGGAAGACCGGGAGGGCTGAGCAGGGCTGAGCAAGGCAGCCTCCTCTCTCCTGCAGTGCCTCCATTCGATGTGGCCCCTCTCAGCTGCATCTGTGAAGAGGGGCCCCAGGGGCCACCCTGCAGGGCCCCACGCTGCTCCCTGCACGCCTGGGGCCGGCTCTTCACCATCTCTTTCCCGCTGGAGCAGAGCCTCCTTACCGCCTCCTTCACCAGCGAGCACGTGCTGAATGCCTCCCTCCGGCTCCTGAGGCGGCCACCCCATCTCTGCTTCACGGGAGGCCGCCCCCTGCTGCCCCTGGGCGCTGTGGCCAGAGTCACTTACTGCTCGGGCCACTTGGTGAGTGGGAGCCCGGCTCAGCATCGGGGAGAGGCCATGCTGAGGGTGTGTTTGGTGGGACCCCCATGGTGCCAACAGGTCCCCCAGCTCCCTTCTGCCCAGCCAGATGTGCGGGAGGACACTACATTAGATCTTTGCCTCATGCCAGGCCCCATGAGGGCATGTTCCATGGAGGCTCAGAAAAACTGGCTGAGTTTCCCAAGGCCGCCCGGCTAGCAGGTGGCAGAGCAATTTGAATCCAGGGGGCCACGGGATGGAAAGAGCCAGGGCTTGGCAGTCAGCCCTTTGAGTTCAGATTCCAGCTCTGTCCCTTAGTCCAGATGACCTTGGACCAGTCCTCGGTTGGATCTCAGGCTCTTCAACCGAGAAATGATGAGGTATCTTGGTTTGTCATGAGGCCTGGTGTCAGGTGTCCATGGAAATCTGTCACGATGCATCGGTCAAGCCAGAGCCACTTATGTCGTTACGTGCCCCTCTGTGGTTGCTGCTTTGGGCAGCCCAGTGTGGGCCGGGACACATGCCACTCCGGGTCAGTCTGGTGACTGCCGTGCTGTCCGTTAGCGTGGGCCTAGCTAGTCCCTTGAGGTCCCCTCCATTTCTGTACATGAGGAATCCCACCAGTGTCTCTCCCAGACCCTACAGCCTGGGACTCAAAGGCCACGATGTGAGGGAGGACCAGAGTGGGGGGGGGGTAGGCTGGAAGCAGGTGTAGCAGTAGGCACGGACCCAGAAGGGCCCAGGTCCCCAGCTGTCCCACAAGGATGGGCTTGGGGACGCTGGACTTGGAGAGGAGCCCTTGGAGAGAGCTCAGGGCAGGTCCGTGCCCAGTGCTGTGACGTCCCAGAGAGGCCCTGTCATGCAGCGGGGCCGGTGGCCTCTGTGCCAGGCTGCTCTCTCTTCTCTAGGAGGGCAACATCCTGGTGGGTGCGGACAGGTTCTACGTTCAGCCGGTGAGGAGGCGGCACCAGGAACTTGTGCCTCCCTGGGTTCGTTCCCAGCCCCACCTGATCCACAGGCCTGTACCCAAGGCCCCCACAGCCCCCAAGGCCCCAGAAGTCATCCAAGGTACAGCCCCTGGGAGAGGGAGGGTGGAGCTGCCCTTGGGGACAGCTCTGGGGGAGGGCCAGCTCTCCCCAACGCCCAGGTGGCCATGTAAAATGCCACAAACTTGAGTGAACCATCTTTGTCAGGATGCTGGGGAGTGGGTAGGCCAGGGGAACACGTGGCCGGCCATCAGCCATGTGCCCAGTTTTCTACCTGGGGGACAGGTAGACATCCAGCCTACAAACAGCTCTTCATAGCTTACAAAGCACGTTCTCAGACGTGCGCTGTTGGCAGGACATCGCTTACTGGTATTTGTTGCTAGTCCAGACGGAACACGGAGGCCCAAAGACAGAGAGTGGCCGCTCAGGGCTGACACGACGGCTCCAGGGCACAACCAGGATTGGAGCTGGCTCTGCTGTCTCCCAGGCCTGCTCGTCCATTGCCCGGGCTGCATCCAGGGGCAGGCAGGGCGCTCTCTTGGGCTCTCCTTGTCATCTTGGAATGACCCTGTTCTGCTCTCCAGGAGGTGCCCAGAGGGGCATCAAGGAGGCAGAACCAGTGCCCGGGGCTTTGGGGAGACCCAAAGGACAAAAAGGCTTCACAATAGCTCCCTCCTTGGGCCCTGCACTGCCACTGGGCCCTTTCAGATACCCCAGAATGCCTGGTCACTAATGCGATCTGGCCCTCGGGGTGGGGTGGAATCCAAGACTCAGCAGTCTCTTGGGCTAGCCACCACTGGTTCTAACAGTCACCGCAGAAAGTGACTTCTGACAGCTTGGGACCCTCAACCCTCGAGGCCAGCTCCCGGAGGGCCAGAGGTAGGGGCTGAGAGTGGGTACAGCCCAGGCCTGCTCCCAGCGTGCTCACCCATGAGAGGCAGGTACTCCCTGCTCCCCACATTCCCCATGAGAAAGCTGAGCACCCCTGACTCCCTAAACTCCATAGTGGGAAGTGGCAGGGACAGGGCTCACACGATGTCTCCCAGCCCAGGAAAGACCTGGCTGTGGGTGGCCAAAGCCACAGGTCATCTGCTTTCTAGAACCTTTGCTGTCAGCCCTGCCTCCTCCCTCAGCAGGCCGTCCTCCTTACCCTCGCGTCCGGAGATGGGCTGCCGGGAGTGTCCTGCATCTGGAGTTGCTGGTGGCCGTGGGCCCCGACGTCTATCAGGCTCACCAGGAGGACACTGAGCGCTACGTGCTCACTAACCTCAACATGGTGAGTGTTCCTTGCGGAGCAGGCTCCTTGGATGGTGCTGACCATTAGGCGTGGGACTTGGGCCTCTGGATACGGCGCCCCACGCCAGGGACTTGGAACGGAATGTGAGTGGGCTGGCTTACCTGGTAGTTTGAACTCGGGTTGAACTCAGGTGTAACCCTAAGGCTGGGGTCATGCTTGGGGCCCAGGGCCTTGGAGTGGGGAAGGGTGCGGCCTGCCCTTTGCTTCCTCCTCCCTCCCTCACCTGGAGCAGAGGTGGGTGAGGTCCTGGGACCCCTCTTGGCTCCCTAGTGCACCCCACAGCCTCTTGTTCCTTGGGTCCCTTCTCTCCAGGGGACTCTCAAATCTGGCCTCTGTCCTGAAGCCCATTTGCTCCATGGGCACCTTGGCCAGCACTGCTGGCCCTCTTCTTGTGGGCACCCCCATTGCTGCCGGCCTCTCCTTCACTTGGCTTTAGGGGTGAAGGTGGGGTGAGAAGTATGACTCCCACTGAGTGTTAGCAGAGAGACAGGTGCTCAACAACCGAGTGCTCACGCGTAATGTAACAGACTCCATGAGACCCCGTGCCTGCATGTGGGACCCCCACACACACAGTGACTGCTCTAGGCTGCCATGGAAGCTTCCACAGCATCAGGATATTAGGACCAACACTGCAAGGAGAGGGCCGCCCACTTGTAAGCTGGCCCTGGAGGGTGGGCTGCCCCCAAGAATGTGCAGTAATCAGCACCACTTTGTGCCCAGCCTCAGGGATGGCCACCTGTTTGGGGCAAAAGGAAATGTCCCCCCAGGCTCAGAGCCCCAGGCCTCCCAACCTGTCCCTGTCCCCTTGTGTTTTCTGGGCCTCTGGGTCCCAGGGCCACACCCCTGGAGTCCCGCCCCCTTGCAGACCTGACCCAAGCCCACAGGGAGCCTAAGGTTTCTGCCTGCAGCCCGAGAGGCCAACAGCATTTCCTTTGAGTCACTTGAAAGCTCTTGTTTTCAAGCACTGGCGGTCCCACCTCTAATATGCTGACACCCGGTAATGGTGCCATACTCCCTCTGCTCGTTTGATGTGCCTTCTGAGGACCCGGGAGGGTGGTAGATGCCAGCCTGGCTCCTGCCCAGACGACGGACACCCACCCTGTACCAGCTGCTTTGTTCCTGAGCCTGCTAACAGCCACGGAAGGCTTTCCCTCCATTTCACAGATAAGGAACCTGGGCTTCCAGGGTCAGTTAACAGGATCCCGAGCAGCTGGGAGGGGAAGCAGTGGAGCTTGGATTCAGGCTCAGGCCCGCTGAGGCCGGTGACAGCCGAGTGCTCTCGTGGGTACCACGTGTAATTCAGAGGACAAGCTGGTGCCAACAGCCACACAAGTCAACCGCGATCGGCATCTTGACACATGCGCCGAGAGAGAGCCAGGGGGCTGGCTGGGGGTGGGGGGAGCCTTCTCTGGGGTACCCAGGAAGGGGCTTGTGGAGGGAGGGAGGGCCTCATGCCGCCTCATGGAGATGCGCAGGTTAAATAAGCAGAGAGCGGTGTTTCAGGTGGATGGGCAGAAAAGAGAAAGGACAGGGTGAATCTGGTGAGAGGGGAGCAGTGTTGGAATGGAATGTTCTAGATTAATAACAACTATTTGCATCCCGTTGTTTCCGGGCTGTTTTGTGTGTGTGTGTGTGTGTGTGTGTGTGTGTGTGTGTTGGTTGGCCTTCTTGAGCCCTGAGCAAGGGGAGGACCAGTGCACACCTGCCCATCCCTGTGGCTTGTTCCCCGCCCAAGCACTAGCATCTTCCCCCGTGCTGATGGAGCATCTTCTCCGGCCCGAGCCCACCAATCAGGCCAGGCCAGCCCCCATGAGTCACCTCTCTCTCCTGCCCTTCCACAGGGGTCAGAGCTGCTGAGGGACCCGTCCCTGGGGGCTCAGTTCCGAGTACATCTAGTGAAGATGGTCATCCTGACCCAGCCTGAGGTAGGCACTGAGCCGGGAGCCCAGAGTCACTGGAAAACCCACTTCTGTTCTCTTTACCTCTTCCTGTGGGTCTCCCCACCTGTAGCATGCATAGTAACAGGGCTGTGGTGAGGACCGAGAGGCCAGCGGCTGTCAGCACCCCGTCGGGTGCAGCTCTCATAAACATGGGCTTTGTTACTGATCCCCCAGGATGCTCCGAATATCACAGCCAACATCACTGCGTCGCTGCTGAGTGTCTGTGAGTGGAGCAGGACCATCAACCCCGAGGATAACACAGAGCCCGGGCATGCCGACCTGGTCCTCTATATCACCAGGTAGCTGCGCTCCCCAGGGGCACGACAGCCCGCTTGGGAGCTGCTCCCCATCTCTGCAAAGGCAGTCTGGCTGTGGGCAGGCACCTCAGCACCACCCAGGTGTCTGTTCTCTCTTCCCAAGGTTTGACCTGGAGTTACCTGATGGTAACCGGCAGGTTCGGGGGGTCACCCAGCTGGGGGGTGCTTGCTCGTCCTCCTGGAGCTGCCTCATCACTGAGGATACTGGCTTTGACCTGGGGGTCACCATCGCCCATGAGATTGGGCACAGGTAGGCATCCTGTCCCCACGCTGTGGCCCAGGAGCTGACCGGGGCTCCCAAGAGGTCACGGGTCACGTCGAGGCTGGCGGTGGGCCTGGAAGAGTCTGCTGAAGGAACCTAATACCCTTGGCCCCAGTGGACCTGGGGGTGGGGGAGGGACAAGGGCTGGGAAATCTGATACTTCTTGATTACCAGGTGATTAAAAAAAACGTTTTTTCCCCAAAAAACAAGCAAGACAAAAGGAGAAAATAAGTTTTCTAGGAAATTCAGGTAAAGAAAAAGCAGGCTGTCAAAATTATCCCAGATCCTACCACTTAGGGATAACATCTGTTCACATTTTATGTTTTAGTCATTTCTTACCCACACACATAATTTTTTATTTGCAAAATCGGGATTATATTGTCTATTGTTTTGTTCCTGGTTCTTAATGGAACAATACATCCCAAACATTTTTTTCCCAGATCTTTTATAATTTTTTTTTTTGGTATGCACTGTAATTTATTTAACTAATCCCCCATTGTTGGCTTTTTAGGTTGTTTCCAAATTTTTCCTGTTATGAGCATTCTGCATTCTGTAGGCAAATCTTTGTTCCTATTGTCATTTACCCCAAGTGGCGAGCTTCTTTCCTTGATGATTTTTAGTCTTTTCATTATGAAATAACCACTTGCTGTAAAAAGTCAGACAGTACAGAGACTCCTAAAGTAAAGAGTGAGTCTGTGCTCCTTCCCCCCAGCCCCCACCTGCCCCCAGGCCTTAAGGCCCCTTTGAGTTCTGCTGTGGAATCCCCCACACCCCATCTCTATGGGTGGCTCAGGTGCCCAGCGAGCCTGGGGCTCCTCACACCCCCTTCAGCCCACAACAGCTCCACCTTTACCCTGGTTCCTGCACCTGCCCTTGACCCCCCAACCCCCACCCCACCCCACCCCCACAATGCCTCCATCTGTCTTGTTTGGAGGAAAAATGTTGTTTTTTGTTTGTTTTTTTAAAGAAGGTTTTGAAAAGCACCCACTGGGAGTGGAGACCATGGCCAAAGGCCTGCACATTTTCTCGACTTTTTTATTAACCTTATGATACAGGCAGTGGATGAATTTTCCCACCCTGAGCCAGCCCACAGATCCAGCAAATAATCACCGGCAGCCCCGACCCCCCAAGGTGCCTCGGGACCCCATCCTCCCTGACTTATAACGCCCAGGATTAGTTTGGTCTCAACATTTTTAAAGCCTTTTGATATTTATTAGCCGGAAGAGGCAGGAGCTCCCTGGTTGATCCAGTGCTCTCTCGGGTGGGAAACTGAGGCAGGGTCGGGAGGCCAATGGGGTGTGAAACCCCACCGCCGCGCTGCCGGACTCCGGCCAGGCCTGGACTGGAGCGGGGGTTGGAGGGGGTGGGTTCGCGAGGGGACCCTCAGCGTTGCCGCCCCCGGCACAGCTTGGGCGTGGAGCACGACGGTGCGCCCGGCAGCGGCTGCGGGCCCAGCGGCCACGTGATGGCGTCCCAGGACGCAGCGCCCGCCCGGACCGACCTCTCGTGGTCCGCCTGCAGCCGCCGGCAACTGCTGCACCTGCTCAGGTAGCTGCACCCGCCACCCCGCCCAGCCCTCCCCACGCCCCCATCTCCACGCGGGGAGCGCCCCTACTTGTCCCCCAGACCCACCCCTCCATCTGCCCCAGCCCTGCCCAGCGCTCTGTTCAGTCCTATCGCCTCCCCGCGTCCTCCTCCCCATGGGCCCCCATCACCTCCCCGGCGCACTCCTCCACCCTCCGCCACGCCCCTGCACCCACCCTTCCACCTACCCCTCCGCGTGCGCGCCCCTCCCTCCGTTCACACTTCCCTGTGCCGGCTCCCTCATTCCCTCCCACTCCCGCGCACCCGCTGTTCCATCGCACCCGCTTCTGCGCCCGCCCCTCAGTTCTGCCCCACCCTGCTTTTGCCTCGACCCTCCATCCCACCCGCTCCCCAGTCCAACTCCCGTCTGCCGCATCCCCCTCCTCCCCGCTGCATCGCGCCGGGCATCTGCTCCAGCCCTACCTCCGCTCCGCCCTGGCTCCGGGCTTGAGCCTGGTCCCAGCCCAAGGCCGGCTGTCGGTGCGCGTACGCGCTGAGGACTCCCATCCTCCCCCATCCCGCCCCCACCCCGTGTCCACCCGAGCCTGAGCCGCGGCCTTGTCGCAGCGCAGGACGGGCGCACTGCATGCGGGACCCGCCAGAGCCGCAGGCCAGGGCCGCGGGGCGCCCTCCGCAGGCGCAGCCCGGCCTCCTCTACGGCGCCGACGAGCAGTGCCGGGTTGCCTTTGGTGCTGCGGCCGTGGCCTGCACCTTCACCAGGGAGCACCTCGTGAGTCCCGCCCGCCCGCCTGTCCGCACCCCAACGTGTGCTCCCTCCACCCGCGCCCAGCGGTCCGCGCTGTGAGCTCCACTGGGCTAGGCTGTCAGTCACTTCTTAAAATTCTTAATTTTTTAACAAGAGTCCCCATGTTTGTTCCCCATTTTGACTGTGTCCCACAAATTATTAAAGAGCCGGCCCTGGCAGGCTCCTGCGTCCCTGGACGTGGAACTTAAATAGGCAGTTACCAAAGGCTTCCAACCCAATGGGAACCTGGAGGGCTTTCCAGAAGAAGTGACCTCCAAACCGAACCCTATAGCAGGAGTGTGAGCCGGCAGGGGGAGGGGAGATGAAGGGGGCAGGCATCCCAAAGACAGACTTCCTCCCTGGGCTGCACGGGACTTTCATGGGCCCCAGGCACCTTTGCCTTAGTGGGCCTCTTCCTCCATACAAAATATTAAGATTTATTATCAGTGTTTTTATAAATGTTGTGTAAGTGTTGTAAATACAAATACATTAATGTTACATATTAGAACATTTTCTTTGATCTAAAAGATCATCTTTTTCTTTTGATTTTAAAAGAAATGAAAACATATTTGTAGGCCCCTAAAATGACTGTGGGCCCTGGTCACTGTCCCTGTCCCATGGAGAGGTCTGCCGTGCCCTTTCTCCCGGGCCACCAGTGCCCACGGAACAGCATATGTGTCCCTGTGTCCTGTGGTGTGGGGGGACAATTAAGACTGGACGCTGAGCCAACAGGCTGTAGTGGCCCCGAGCTGGCCACCTGTCTCCCCTCTTAGGACATGTGCCAGGCTCTGTCCTGCCACACGGACCCCCTGGACCAAAGCCGCTGTAGCCGTCTCCTCATTCCTCTCCTGGATGGGACAGAGTGCGGCGTGCAGAAGGTCAGAGCAGGGAATGGAGGGATGTTAGAGTGTGTGTGTGCGTATGCATGCACGTGTCCATGCGGGGCACCGAAACCTGGCCGCCTGCATTCCTGGGGTGGGGGACAGGAGGATCGGTTAGCTGGGGCAGAGGGCCCTGGAGCTGCTCTTGGTCACCTGGTCTGGAGAGCTGGGCGGCAAGATGCTTCTGTGTGCCAACTGACTTGCCCTGCCTCCCTGCAGGGCCTGGAAGATGGGATGGGTTTTCTAGGTTCGCAGGACCAGTGAAAACTGACAAGGGGCTCACCGGTGACTCTGCGCAGGCGGGTGGGGGATCCAGAGCCCTGCCCTCCCCGCAGCGTTGTGGCGTTTCTTTTCCCCCTTCCCTGGGTTGGAGACGGCTTGTGTCGTCACCCCTGACCCACGGAGGAGACAAAGGCTTTGAGTGGTAGTGATTGCGCAGCCCAGCTCCCTGACCCAGACTCCCTCTCGTTGGCCGAACCAGGCAGCGTCTGCCTCTACCCTGCAGACCTCAGGGCCTCTGTCCTTCCTCTCTGCCTGGTGTGGCCAGACCCTTCCTCTGTCCTACAGCCTGGGGTTTGCCCTCTTCCATTTAGCATTGTTTCCTGAGCAGGATGGGAGTGCGGGGGCACGTGTGCACACCTGTGTGGGTGTGGGTGCCCTGTGTGGGGTGCCCCAGGTGTGGGATGGTGTGCCCTGTGTGTGGGGTGCCCCAGGTGTGGGATGGGGTGCCCGTGGGTGTGGGGTGCCCCAGGTGTGGGATGGGGTGCCCGTGGGTGTGGGGTGCCCCAGGTGTGGGAT